CCAGTATGATGAAAGTGTGTGGGTCGATGATTCAGCTGTAGAATGCTTGCCAACCACCCATGTGGTCCGAGTTTCGATTCCTTGATGATACACTCTAGCTTGAAGCCCTATATTCCACTAAAAATGTGAAGAAATAAAATTTGAAAAATATTAAAAATAAATTTGATAAAAGTTACTTCATACATTTGGTTCCCTTGATAAATTTCGATAAAGAAAGAAAGACCAGATTTGCAGGATAAAATGATACCATCATTCTGTTTCAAAGGTTCTCATCAGCTGCAGAACCCTACGTGAAATTACAATGGTTATTTAGATGATGATAATAACATACATTAATGTTTGAGTGGTGGTAGAGAAGAGATACTATAAAACTGATGCATCCAAAAGGTAAGCATTACAATTTTTAGTTTAATTTTTCATCATCAGTTTATACGCTTTCAAAGTAGAAAGAGGGAGGGAGAGGTAAGACAGAAAACAGAAAAAATTAATCAACAGAACAGTGTTAGCTTGTAGCTTGTTCACATAGCAACTGAAAAAAACAAAAGCGGTTTTGGCGTTTGAAACTATGGGTACTGGGTTCGAGCCTCGGTGGGAACATCATCACTCACTGAGAAATGCAGGTACATCCAGCTGACGAGTCCCAAATAGGACGAAATGCGCATCCTGATTCCACTGCTAGCCACCATCCACTAATTGTATACTAATTAAATGCCCAGACATCGTCGAAGCATCTGCACAAGAAGCCGACATGTCAACCTGAGACCTGCAAGAATATACTTTAATTTAATCACAAGAAGCCGACATGTCAACCTGAGACCGAGCACTTCGGTCCAATCAACCGACGGAAAAATCAAAAAATTCAATTAAATAGTTTCTGATGTTTGTCAATGCATACAAGAATTTGAATAAGTGTATTTTTTGGGTAATATTTCGGTGCGTGTTCTCTGAGCTGAATAGTTGACTTGCGAAGAATTCAGTACTTTACTAGGCAACATCTTCAACGCATACTTCAATTTCTCAAACAGATTTTTAGTCATCTCTTCTGGTGACCTTGAACGTAACTGGTTGCTTTTGTATATTTTCACACCTTTTAGTCTACTTGTATTGGTACTGATTCTTTTCTTAACGGGAAGTTTGACTTTTTGTGTAATACATTTTATCTTATGGATTGGTAAATCTTGTCTGTTTCAGGCTATCTGTCAACTGAATACAGGCTTCCAAAAATTCTCTGGCGTGCTTGGTGTTTCCTCGGTGTATTACCTGACTGTTGTCCCACTCGAATTGACATCTGCGGTTGTCTGTCTGCAGCGATATGAGGGAGTGTATATAAAGTTGTTTGATGGATGGGTGCAAATACGAAGAGGACTTGGTGTCTCACACAAGCCAACATAATCACTTCCTTCAGCCTTGTGTTAACCAAAAGACTGAACAGCGAAAGAAGATAAAACCAGGACCATCTATAAAATAAATCACAACGACTGCGGAAAACACTACATCAGCCAATGTGGTTCTCTCTTCATATGCAACAAAGCTACGTCACATAATATACTTCAGATTATTACTTCACATGTAAATCCTGAAAGAAGAGAAAATATTCTGGAACCAAATACTCTAAAAATTTATGTATGATATGTTCACATCTTTTCTGAGAAAAAGCTTTATTGTCGTAAGTAGTAATAGTAAATTTCCGCTTTCCTTTAGGCATAAATCTCTTTGAATATACTCAGAAAACTTCCTGTCCTTCTGATGTATTAGCTGTCACAAAAGCATATCAGTCTCCAAACACACATTTGTACCTGACATCATCAGTATACTTATCCTATATGGATAGGCTTATTGGATATATGCTACTGTAAAATGATACAAGCTTAAATGCAGTAAAACAACGCTTTACTGCCCAATGTCACTCTTTTGTCAGCCTTCTCGGATATTATCAATGGCAGGTGGATATAGACTTCTTTTTTGCCCGGAATTGGGTGTTTTCTTTCTTCTCAGCTTCTTTGCCACACTTCCAGGATATAACCTTTTCGGGTATCCATTCTCATTCTCTTGAGCATTTCTCAACAAGGTCTAATTCGCATTTCTTATTTATGATTATATCTGATAGGACAGGTGTTATTGTCTTGAAGATTTTGTCAACATGAAGTTTCTTCTCTATGGATAGAGTTTCGATTCTACTGTCTTTTCTTCTTCTTCTTTTCCTTCTCCTCCTCATAGTAACGTCCAGGATGTTGAACTCGTTACCAGCGGCGTTAATTACATGAAATAAGACAGTTAAATAATCAAAATTTTTCATTATTTTCTTCTGGACAACTTTATCAGTATAAGACATATTGTGGTGAGAGCAGGCCGTGAGAAAATATGAGCAAGGCTGATTCAACAACCAATCACAGCAAAGTTAACGTGGCAAAATATGACTCGCAGATAGAGAACTCTATTTGTCGAGGAATCCCGAAACAACCAATCAGAAGCCTGCGTTTGTCTGCCTAACTTCTGATAAACAACCAATCAGATGACTGCGCTTGTCTACTTGCATAAGCTATAATAATGTATGTGAAATATATATAAATACTTGTTGATTTTCATAATAAAACGATCTGTTGCTTCGCCCTTGTCTTCTGTTGTTACAATATAAGCGAACAATATTGCTGTTGTTTTCAATTAGATCTTCTTCAGGCTTTACTCTAATTTACACAGCTTTATATATAAAATTCAAAGCAATGACGGTGGGTTTGTGGATCAAGTAATAATAAGTGTTAAGTCTTTACAGCGTCATTATTAACGGTGATTATAATGATAACAAAATATTGATAATGAATTTTATGCAGGTGGCGGTAAGAAGAATCACAAAAGTGGTAATATTTGTGTGTGTGTGTGTGTATGTAGACAATTCAATAAATAAATAAATTAGGTGAAATCTTAAAAGTTACGTAATACTGAAGGTGGGTGAAGTGGACGGATAATCACAGTTTAAATATATATCATAAAAGTACGAAGGAAATAAAAAATAAGAAAGGGTGGAAGGGTTTTGAATAGAATTCACCTAGGCCAAAGGAGAGACAAAGGCAGAACAAACTTCTTAGGTATGCAAAGACTAGGATTGCTCTCTTGAATTCTCAAAGCTTCGGTTATCCGTAAAAAAAACGGTTTCGAATTCCGTTAGAAAGGTTCAGTGGGATGTGATAGATAACTATGAAGGTACTTCTTCCATCCACTTGGTGACTACATTGATCAAATGAGTCAAAATAGAACTTCTTATGGGTTTTATTTGGCTTTTTCCAAATCATGAAGGAAGTTCCTCAATAATACATTTGTTGAGCTATCTAGTTGTTCGCCCTAAATAGCTTTCTCCACAGGAGCAACTGAATTTGAGAATACATATAGAAGTGGCACAGCTAGGTAGCCTGTCTTTCGTCTGGGCAATCATAATTGTTTGGCTGGAAAATCACAAACAAAGGCTGGCAGCAGCACAAATCCATTTTATTGCTGTCGATAATCTTAGATATAGGACTTCACTAGCTATGTCCCCATTTAGGAACATGTTATCAGTTTATCTTAATTATACATGGTGTTCGTGTGTCTCCTTACAAATCTACTATGATTACCCGTTTGGACCAGCGTATTTTTGATGTATCCTAATTCATCTGTAGACAACCTTCTTGTTTTAATCGTGAGACATCTAACCAAATTGATTTTGTATCGGATTGGCACAAAATTGAAGAAATGTGTAGGTTTTCTATTGACATTTCTCTTGAGTGAACCCTGTAATCTCTCTTCTGCTCAACTGGATATCAAGGAAGTGTAGTCCATCATCAAGTTCTTCTTCAGAAATGAAGATGAGTGGTGGATGTGCACCGTTCTTGTCAGCTTTCTCATCAGGAATAATATACGTATCGTCAACATAACAAAAATAAGAATCCATTTTATCTCTTAATTGTTTCAATGGGTCATTTTCAAGCTAAGCAAGAAAGAAATCTGCCCAAATTGAACCCAATAGAGAACCCATGGCAATACCATCGATTTGTCTGTAATAAAGGTTGTTGAATGTGAATTGTGCATTCTTAGTGCGTCATATAAGCAGCTCTCTTTGGAATTCCCATGTCGAACTACTTTTCTAGTATTAGTACTAACTCTAGGACAAATCAAACTTCACTATGGTTGATCCTAAATAGTCATTAAAATTTGGAATATGTTTTCTTGTTCTATGGTTAGGACTTTTACTAATATTTGTCTTTTTTTATCAAGGAAAAGACATTCAGCGGAGAGTCACGACTATCGGCGATATCATTCTCAAGCTGTACGACCGCATATATATATATATATGCATATAGTTAATTCTCGTAGCAACAAAAGGAATATTTCTTAAGATGTGTCATTATAATTGAAAACCTTGTACAACAAATTGCGTAACATAAAAAAGCGTTAATTGGTTGGAAACTAAAATATAATTAAGATAAGATAACTGATAGGAGTGAGTAGAATTAAACTAGAATTCGAATGAGAATAAAGTTAAGAACAGTGTGATAATAAGGGGTAGAAATTTAGTGGTGGTTGAGGGACAAAAATGACGTACCCAGTGTGAAGACAGATCAGGTCCATTGTAAATTTAATGTGAGTGAACAAACTTCTTTTGTATGCAGAGCTCAAGACTTAACATGTGAATTGGCATTACTTATGCACTTTGAAGAAGTTTGATTCGTACTCTATTAGAGAGATTTTCACGTATTCTGTAGATAACTTTGAAGTTGGTTTCGGTGTTAGCTTGGTGTCCAGATTTAACCTACTTAATTTACATAAAAAAAACATGCTACTGATATTATATAACTTCTAATCAGATAACTTTGGCTTCTGATTCAAAGATACATTTTGATTGGTTATTATTAATCACCTTTAATTCCTACGCCAAAATAAATTAACACAACAAAACAAAATTAACTTGCAATCTGATTGGCTGAACAATTTTCAACCAAACACACACACACACACACACGCCTACACAAATACTATTCGCCTACAAAGATTTACTAAGACAATAAAATACAAGTTAATTTTGCATCAATCAACAACCAGGCGAAAAAAGTGTAGTAAAAGTGGTTAGACTTGAAGTTAATTTTTTTTTGGTTTTTATTCATTCATGAAAAGCAAAGAAAAGAAACAAACTTCTATCGATTTTCAGCAGCACAGCCATTGGTCAATCAAAAAAAATAAAACAAAACAAACCAGAATCATGGTCAAAATGATTCATTTCAACAATGTTTTAGTTTAATGGATAACTAGATCAAATTACAGTTGAAAAACGGATTAGTGGAACACTATGATAATGCGTTATATCTGGTTAATATGGTGTATCTTAACATGGACAGCAGCCATATTGTGTACAGTCGGATTCCTGTTACCCTATTGGTTGGATGGACGAATATATCCTGATCAAGAAATACTCCCTGAAGAAAGCGGTTCTCTCCGCTATCCTGCTTATTCAGATCTACCAAGTACACTGAATTTATTTCGTCGATGTGTTTACCCAGTATATACAGGATTAGTAACAGATATTTTATCAGAAAATCCAGAAAAAGCAGCCATCTTTTTAAATCAACCGCCAACACAAAGAATTGATTTTAAACATGCATTTATTGAATCTTCATTGATTAATATACAAACGAATTGTGGTTATTATCCATTTTTTGATATACCGCATACAGCATGGAGATTTAGTATGATTCTACTGGTGATTTCATGTTGTTTTTTATTCTTTTTGGCCTTTTTCATATCATTCACTGGATGTTATTTGAATTTTCTATGGCAATTTAATAATATACATCGTATGTGTCAAACTGGTCTACTCATTTCTGGTAAGTTTCTTTTATTTTATTGATTGAGCTTTTTTTGTTGTTGATGTGATCAATATACCATGGTAACTTTTTAAAAATATTTGTTTCCGTAAATGGTTATAGACTTGCTTATCGATTGTGCATCTAAAATTAACTTTATTATCAGTTTGAGATAAAACGAAAAATAACTAATCTGATTAAGGACTATGTTGACTTTCTTTTTTTTGACTCAAATTAAGTAGGATTCCTTTGCAACTGTGGTAACCATTATTACATAACTTTCATCTTTCCTCTGCTCGGCTGTACGTCCGCTGTTGTTGTCGGTGACTAGGGAGGCTTCGTGGATTGATACCATGTTTATATTTGACGACTCAATCCAGTAGATGATTCAATGCATACTTAAGATTTTCTATAGTTTGGTTTGTAAGGGTTAGTTATGTTTATACGAGTTGATCACGGATTGATATCAGTTAGAGAACCATTGAAAACCAGGGAGTACTGGACAGCTGCTGTTTCAACCCAGTTTGGGAATCATCGGCAGTACGCAGCAACTGAGATTCGAACCCAGGACCTTCCGATTACAAGGCAAGCTCGTACACCAGTGAGGTCCAATTAGATGTCACGTGTGTGGAGAGATGTCCCACCAACGACAATAGTTGGGGTCACGCTAAATCACGAATGGGTAGAAGTTAGAATTCATGAGCCAGTGGCTGAAAGGTATACGAGCTTGCCTTGTAATCGGAAGGTCCTGGGTTCGAATCTCAGTTGCTGCGTACTGCCGATGATTCCCAAACTGGGATGAAACAGCTGCTGTCCAGTACTCTCAGCTGGTTTTCAATGGTTCTCTAACTGATATCAATCCGTGATCAACTCGTAAAAAGTATACTTAATACTCATTTGAACTTGTTTCATAGTAAGGTATGTGTCAAATATGCAAATCGCAGAGATCCTGGACCTATTGCTGGTTTTACAAGAATAAGCCTAATATGTAGAATAATATGCACAGTAATCAACACGATAAAAAGGCAGAATTAAAAGTTCCTATCAGCGAAGTCCCTAAATAAATTAAACAGATGGACGAAGAAGAGTTGGTGTTAAATAACTAACTATCCTATAAAATTCAATAAGAATATCAAAAAACGTCGAAAGTAAAATAAATATAATGAGAAAACTAATAATAATATTAACATAAATAACAAAGAATATAAAGGATCTACAGTATTTTTACCATATAAGGAGGGGATATTTGAGACCCTCCCCATGTAAGATTCTTAATAAAGCAGGAATTAGGGTGGTGGCATTTAAACCTACAAACTCACTCAGACAGGACAAGCTCTGTAGGCTAAAGGACCCGATGGACCCAATTAAACAAAATAACATAATTTACAAAATGCCTCACAATGCCTCTGAATAAGGTCAACTACATAGGTCAAACTAGTAGATCGGGGGTAGTGAGATTAACAGAACATAAGAATTTAGTGGCTAAGGTTGAAATGATTGATCCCATGAAGATAAGTAATTCAGGGAAATAAAATTCAGCGATAGCACTGAATGCATTAACACACAACTGCACAATAAGGTGGGTGGGACAGGGTCAAAATTCTAAAAAGATAGGTGGAGACAGAGAGAGATTGATTGCTCAATCCTTGTTCATCGAGTCGACACACAACACATGCAATAGAAGTGACTCAATGCACATACCAGAGATATGTATGGAAGATATTATTACCAGTCAAATCAGAGGGTAATAAATAATGTTAAAATGTATTTTAATTCACATTATGACATTCTAACAAGTTATTTATTTTACTACAGAAACATCTTATTTCCCATTAGAGTGTATTTGATTGATAATACTAATATTAGTTCCCAATGCACTTTATCGTATTATATTGATTTAATTCAAATGTTTAATCATCAATTTTAACTCATGTATTTAAATGAAGCAAGAAAGTTGCGGGGCAGTACTTTGAAATGATTATGAGCTGCAATAATTTGTTCTCGAAACGTCATCAGTTAATATTACTGTACAACACTGTGTGACTTTATCGAAATAAAAATTTTATCCATAATGGAGTAATAATTGTCATCGTATGTCTCCAATCTTCTGCCAACTAGTACGCGATTAAGCAATGACAGCCTTGTTGTCTCCCGCAAATATGCGGACCGGATGGAATAATATTCACCAGCACTGAGAGCATGTATAAAGTCTTAAGCAAACTACCACTTTCTGACAAAGTGGAATCTGCATTTTTGCATAACACTATAAACAACTAACTGTTTTAGATGAGTAGTAGGTGTAAACCACTCATATCAACTAGTAGCGCTTTCTGGATAGCCAGATCGAGGCTGATCTAAGCACCACGAGACTGTCGTTTTGCTCGATTGAAGTTGAGATCATCAGCGGTGTACCTGGTTTGACATCTCAGCTCAGACAGTCGAATCAGTTTAAACTGCACTCGATTTCTGACTGGCTAGTTCGTTGAACTGGTTCTACCATAAATGAAATTCACAATTTCCAAATTAATCAGCAATTTGCAAAGTACACACAAAATTCGAGAGGAGAAATTTTCACCAAAGTTTCTTATAGAAAGCAAAATTATTCAGATCACATTTCGGAATCTCCTTGTTACCATGACTTGTAATCAAGAAGCCAAGCATACCCGCAAAAAAAAATAACTATAAAATATTGATTGATTGAGCTCTGAATAATTTGGTTTTTGAACAAAACCATAGTGAAAATTCTACCCCTCGCACTGTGTGCATTGCAAACAGTGAATTTCATTTATGCAATCTGTATTCTTTGCCAAGAAAGATGATTCAGTTTTCTGAGTCATATCTACCTAAAAATCTCATAGAATATCGTTTTCTTCAAAGTGGGAGCCAGTACAGCCACCTACCGACTAGAAGTATCCTTAACTGAACGTAACGACTTAGGAATCGACTTGTTACCAGGGAATAGTCTTATGGGCTTAGAATATGCAGATGACATAGTCCTGTTAGGGGAGGATGCTGACAAAATGCAGAGTCTTCTGAACACCTTGAGCAGCAATCTTCGTATGTTTGGCATGCGATTCGCCCCTACAAAATGTAAGATGCTGCTACAGGACTGGACCACGTCAACTCCTAGCTTAGTGATAGGGAGTGAAGTGCATGTGAAGAACATGTTGACCACTTCACCTATTTGGGAAGTTGTATTAGCACCAACGGACTGATTGGCGACGAAATCTCAGCACGGATCCAAAAAGCTCGAGCTGCTTTCGCTGACTTACACCATCTCTGGCGTCGGCGTGACATCCGGCCATCAACCAAGGGACGTGTGTACTGCTCAGCAGTTCGCTCCGTCCTTCTCTATGGCTCTTAAACATGGCCAGTACGCGTTGAAGACATGAAAAGGTTGACTGCTTTCGATCATAGATGTCTGCGATCCCTGTCTCACGTTAGGTGGTTTAATTAATAAGGTAAGTAATGTTGACGTTAGGAGGCGTAGAGTGTTGAGCAAAGAGGGAAAATCAATCGACGAGGCTATAAAGTTACATAGATTGAGATGGCTAGGTCAGGTGGTGCGCATGCCTAACCATCGCCTCCCCCGACGGGCATTACTAGCTGATATAGGTGCAGGTTGGAAAAGGGTAAGTGGTGGCCAAACAAAAACATGGCCTCATCAATCCATGAAATCCTTGACAGTTCAACTGAGTCAGTCAGGTAGGGAGATGCAGACTTCCGGGTTGGGGCCCTCGCCTCGGGACTCTAGGAATCAATGGCTGGAGACAATAGGGGACATGGCTCAAAATCGTTGTCAATGGCCAGCGCAGATGTATTCAGTCTCTGTAATCTTTCATACTCCTTTCTACCATTAACCATTCTGTTTCACTCTTATACTTGTCAAACTCTATTGATTCTCTTCACTCATCTTCTTGTCTACTTTTGTGTGCTATTTGGAACGTGGCAACTGGAAGTGCTGCACTTCGGTGCCAAGTTCTATGTTGAATCCAGACAGACAGACCGACTAGAAGACAAGTTTCGCGAGATGATATCGTCATTTCGTAGTCTCTTTACAATCGCTTTACACCTAACGTGGTTAATAATAATAAAATAAAATACATGACAATTACTCAATTATATAAAACAAAAGTACATACTAATGACCAATCATATTAAAATAGGTCAAGTAGTCAGTCCATGGTAGGTGAAGGTTGGAGTCCATTATTTTTGTACACATAGTTTAAGATGAATGTGATTAATTCCCAGAGTGCTTCCATCACCTTCAATAACCAACCTAGAATTAGAGTTATGTGAAGTAATTGTGAAACAGTCATTAGTTAATATTGATTTTGTGACCTGACATTAATAAGTGTTTTGCAATGGATGATGCTGGATTTCTATTAAGATTAATCGCGTTGGGATTTTCGATATGATTTACTAGCCTTTTGGAATATGTTCTTTTCGACGACGACATTGGAACATTCCACTGCTTCTATACCTATATATATATATATATATTTCACCGCAACTGCAGGTGAACTTGTAGATATAGTTTGAAGTGGAGTCCATAGTATTTCGTCCTTTAATCGTAGGTACAGGGATAGAAAATGTTCGGCATATGAGATTAATCACACACATCCTAAACTATGTGTACGAAAACATCACAATAGACTTCAACCTTCACCCTTCCATGGAGTACTTGACCTATTTGAAAATAGGATTGGTCATTGGTAGGATGTACTTTTGTTTTTTTCATAAAACTGAGTAATTGTCATGCATTCCATTTTATTATTGTTAACTGCGTTAGGTTTAAAGCGATATCATTTCGCGAAATTTGCCTTATTAAAGTTTATCAAAGCGGCCAAGTGTTTTAATTACCTACCTCTTTGTTTTGAGTTATCATGAGAACGACAGTGTGAATTACTAGAGTGAATATATTTGAGGAGGTTGCGACTCATTAATAATAATAATAATATGCTTTACTCCAAAACAGTACTCATAATATAGTGTGGTATTAATAACACCAAATTAGAAGA